TTTGGAGCTGTCATGATGGGGGAGAGTGCTAATGGCATCTAGTGGTCAGGGATGCTAAATGTCCTATGATGCACAGAACAGCCCTCACACCACGAAGAATTATTCAGCTCTAAGTGTCAGTAGTGCTAAGATTGAGAAACCTTATCCCTATGGTTTCTTTTTTTAAAAAAATATTTTAAAATGGATTTTCTTTTTAAGAGGGAGAGGGGGAGAGAGAGAGAAACAATGATATGAGAGCAGAACATCGATCAGCTGCCTCCTGCATGGCCCCCCAGCCACCAAGGATTGAGCCCCAGTAGAACCAGCACAGGACAACCCCAACCAACTAAGCCACACAACTAGGCCACATCGGCCAGGGCAGTCCCTGTGGTTCCTGAGGAAGAAATACTTCTTGCCTCAAGTCAATTCCTTTACCTTTTCTTTTTGTTCAGATCACTCCCAACCCTTCAAGAACCCCATTCACTCACCTCTCCTTGCATTTTACCTCACAGGCTTAACTGAATAAACAGATTAAAACAATCACATTTGCTTTCCCCTTAGATCTCACAAATTACCATGCACTTACTACCTCTTTTTTTTTTATTAGCAGACTCTCTAATTGAATGATCCATGTTGATTACTCATATCCTTTATACCTTTAGCTGCCTGGTGCCTCTTACCAAAAGTTTTCTCTTTTAACTTAGTAATAAGCTTATTCTGGCCAAATGTGTGGATGTTGTTGGGTTTTTTAAAATTTTTTTTTTTTTCAGTTGCTGGGTTTTTTTATTTATAAAAAATAAAAATGTTTTTTATTTATAAAAAAGTATTGGCTGTCTTAGTAACACCGTAGTATACATGGTAAAAAATATATATGACAATATGAATGAATGTGTGGATGTTTTAAAAGCAAAATTAATTGACTTTCCAGTCAACTTCATTTCCTATATGCACTGTCTTCAAATTCTCTCTCTTATCCCTGACTGAAATCATCATGTTGAACTTCTATCCCCAATATTGTAACAGAACTTCTCTAGCCAACATCTCCAAGGCTTTCCAGGTTGCTAAATCCCAGTTCTCAGCCCGCCTCCTCACCTCCTCAGCTGCACCTGGCACTTCTGACCCCCCTTCCGCTGAAACACTTTCTTCACTTGGGTTAGCAGGACTCCACGCTCTCCTGTTTTTCTCCAGCTACCCCCCTCCTCTGCAGGTCCTCCTCTTCTCCTGTACCTCTTAACTTTGGAGGCTCCCATGACTCAGTGTTTGAACTTTTTCTTTTGTATCTATAGTCCCTTCCTAATGACCATCTTTCAGTCTCAGTGGTTTAGATATTATCTGTATTTGATGACCCTAAATTTATAGCTGTTGACCAGACCTAGATGCTGATCTTTGGACTCTTATATTAAATTATTTTCCCCCCAAAATTTCCACTTGCTCTTTTAAGTGGAAATATCAATCTATTCTGTTAAAAACTAGCTCCTGGTATTTTCTTGTAAACTTACCTCAGGAGATGTCAACTGCATCCTTCCAATTATCCACAACCAATGCTTTGGAATAATCCTCAACGAGTCTCTCTCACAAAGAGTAATCAATCAGAAAATACCATCAGTTCTGCCCTCCATGCATACCCAGAATCCAACTACTTTTCATCACCTATAGTGCTGGACCACCATGTATATTCCCTGACCAATGCACCGTTATTTCTCACCTAGATTGCTCCAGTCCTCCAACTGTGTTCCCCTTCGCTCATGTTTAACCTCTGCAGCACTCACAAAAGGTTCTCCAGCTATACCTTTGGCCTTCTCTCCAGAGCACGCTTTCATAACAGTGAATCTCCTAATTTAGCATCTTTTACAATCTGGAGCGTCTGGGAGTTTCCCAAATCAAGTCCTGGTCCCTTTTTGCTTAATGATTATTTCTTCAAGTTGTCTGTTTCCTCTAGCATTTTAGTGTAAGCGGCAGGAAGGAACCAGGCTGAGTCTTCAGTGCTTCACCTGGAAATCTCCTCAGCTAAATATTCAAATTCATCACTTATGAGCTCTGTCTCTCACACAGTAGCTGGTCACAATTCAGTGAGGCTCTCTGCTACTATATAACAAGGATTGCCTTTCTTCCATTTTCCAATAATATGTTTCTCATTTCCTTCTGAGCCCCCGAGCAGAAACTTTAATGTTTGTATTTCTGCCAATATTCTGTTTATGACAACATACATATCCTCTAAGATGATAGAGGCTTCCTCTGTCACACTTCTCACTTTTTTCTGAACTCTTACCAGCATTGTTTTCAATGTTCATATTTCTGCCAATAGTCTATTTAAAACAATCTAGGCTTTATCTATCATGTGCTTCAAAATACTTCCAGCCTTTGTCCATTAGCAATTCCAAAGCCACTTCCACATTTTTGGGTATTTGTTACAGCAAATCTTTATTAGTTTCCCGTGGCTTCTATAACAAATTACCACAAACTTGGTGGCTTTAAACAACAGAAATTTATTCTCTTGTAGTTCTGGAGTCCAGAAGCCAGAAATCGATATTACTGGGTCAAAATCAAGGTGTCAGCAAAACCCTAGGAGATAATACTTTTCTTGTCTCTTCCAGCTCTTAATGGATACGAGCATTCCTTGGTTTGTGGCTGCATCCCTACAGTCCTCAAGGCCAGGATCTTCAAATCTCTCTCAGGTTTATTTTTACATTGCTGTGTGTAAAATCTCCTTCTGCCTCCCTTTTCTTTTGGATAAGGTCAATTAGACAGAGACAATCTGTGATATCTCCCATCCCAGCTTTTAAAAACTCCTCTACCCATTGTTTCAGTGGAGTTGAGATCAGACTGCTCTTTCTTCCCTGTTGGAATAGCTTTGAGTAAAGTCCTCCTTACCTGTTCAACTTTGGTGCAGTTTTTGCTTTGATAATAGTTTCATGCACTAACCATCACCATTTAATCAGTTCCATCAAGACTGTCCAAGATGAATGTAAAAGTGTGATTACTTTTAGAGAAAATTATTAAATAATTCTTCATTTTCATTCCCCCTAAATTATAGCATGTTTATGCTTAGAAAAGCACAAGAGAAAGTGACTCTTGAACTCCTCTTGTTGGATATATCGTCTTTCATCATCTCATTTTTGTAAATTCCCTGATCAATACCCCAGTTATGCTTATTTTTTTCTCATTTGAAGCTTAAATGATAATTTTTAAAAAAGATAAAAGTGTTTTTGTTAATTCTCACCCGAGGATGTTTTTTTTCCATTGAGTTTTAGAGAGAGTGGAAAGGAGGAAGGGGGAGAGAGAGGGGGAGAGAAACGCCGATGTGAGAGAGACACATCAATTGGTTGCCTCCTGCACACGCCCCAACTGGGGCAGGGATCGAACCTGCAACCCAGGTATATGCCCTTGACCAGAAATTGAATCCGAGACCCTTTGGTGCGCAGCTGACGTTCTAACCACTGACCATACTGGCCAGGGTGATAAAGATTTTTTAAAACTCATGAATTAATGAGGGAATTAAGTAGACATAGATGTTTAACAGGTTCAAAAGAAAATCTTGGCTTCTCCACAGTGGGAAAAGGAGGTCAAGTGACTTTTTGGACAGGGAAGATTTGTATTTCTATGGATTAGAATGATCTTTCATTGCTATCAGTTATTTATAATTTACAGAAATGTAGCACAGCTGCCAGAGAATCATAATAGATAACATGGAGACATGTGATAGACAATGCAAAGTTTCCCCTTGCAGCATAAATTTTTCCCTACAGAGCCTTGATTCAGTTTTTACTATTGACGCTGAGTTGCAGGATGAAAGTGTTAGAGACCATAAAAATTTCTCAGGGTTTGGATAACTGCTTTATTCACATTAAGAAAGGAATATAAGGTTAGAGTATTTTCAATAGAAGCCATCAATGAGCCTAAGAAAAGATTTAGTGAAAGGACTGTTATATCAAAGAATAAAGTTCAGAATCTCAAGATGGAAGGAGCTTCAGCTTTTGTGCCACTGATAGGTAAAGATGAAGAAAGTGTCAGTTTGACCAGAGTGCACGAGATTTTTATATTTGAAATAGAATTGGCCTGATGGGTAACTCACGAGCCCTTTGAACCTGTGAAGTGTGATTCTGCTAAGGACAAAGATAACTGAGCCAGACATCCCTGGATGAATCTGTAAGAGCTTGGGCAGGAGGCTTGCTCAAAAGGGAAATTCAGTGGGCATGACATGAAAGGGTATTAAACTGCCTGGTGGGTTCATCATGACCCCAAAAGTCCTCAATGCCAAGTTTCATCAGCCCTGGGTGATCTTTGCTCTTAGTGTGCTGTGTGGTGTCCTATGGCATAAAGTATTGTTAAATGTCCTCACATTTTAGGGACAACGGGAACAATATGCAAATTAACCATGGGTAATGTTCCTGGCAATCTACAATTATGGGCATTTAAAATTTTTAGATGCAAATTAAACCCAAAGTTCCTTGTAAATAGTGCCAATTTGCCTCCAAATAACATGTTGCAGAGATAGAATAATTTACCATAAATGCCTGCACCAGCAACAGTAGCTGGCATGTATCTAGATGCTATTCAATAAGTGTGTGTGGTATTGACTGACTGGAAAAGCATCCAAGAAGAGTCTTCATTTTTCTATGATAAAAAAAAAAATCTGATGCTCAGTTATTAAAAAAGAAGCGGCTGACTTCAAGCAGAGTGATGGTGTGGCACTGTGCTATCCATACGCTTACTAACTATACTTTCATCTTCCTTCCTGTTCTTATGTGTGAATGATATTTACACCCTCTCTTTATCACCAGGGCACCAAAACACAGAATCCAGGAACACATTGGCAGTGTAAGTGTAAATAAACACACACGTTTCATGAAAAAACGACACACACACACCTAAAAAACGGAGCCTTGGGAAACCTCTTTGCACATTGGAGGTGGGGGGTTACCTAGAATCTCAGTCTCCAGGTGTGTTTGTAGTTATATGTATAATGAGTCTTGTTTGCTAGGAAAGTAATAGGCTTATTGAGTCGAGCAACATGGAAATAAAATATACTGAACCCCGTGATTACAGAAGCTCTCTGTTAACTACTGCCCTTGTGGACTGAGGCGTTTCAAAGTTGGTGCTCACTCTGCGGCGCTTTCTGCTCTCTCTTCCTCCCCCTGCGTGTCAGTAGCTTGTGGAAAGCCGACCAGGAGAAATGTTGAAAGAGAATATTTTAAACGTGCAACCGATTATTGACCAGAAATGGAACCAAAGCGAATGAACAAATTCTTCAGAAAATAGGAATACCTTAAGGTACGTTTTGAGCACCAGATTGGAAAATTATATACGAAGCTATGCTCCTGGTCTTCTCTGGGTTATAACTTTTGTTTTCTTTGAAATAGTGTGTTGTAATTTACTTTTAAAAACAGCTAAAAACCCCCACAAAACCCTTTTATTTTTGTTAAAATGGACATTGATTATTTCCATGAGAAACAAAAGTTACAAAGAGTCTTTGAAATCTGTGCTGGTATCATTTCCAATCTTGTTTTTATGATACATTTACATATTATGTTGTAAATATTTTATATGTGATATATATAAAAATATTAATGTATTTTTAAATTTATTGGTGTACTCTTTTTTCATTTAATATTTATATATTTTGCAGTGTCATGAAAAAATCTTTCAATGTAGTGTTTTAGAATTATGGTTTAATTCTAAATTATACATACATATATGGAATATATATATAAATACAGAATATGTTTATATAATTGAAATATACATACGTACGCATATATATATACACACAATCGTGTGTGTACAAATATAATCACTCTTTCCATCTGTTAATAGGCATTTAGTTTGATTTAAGCATTTTTTATTAAAAGTAAATATTACATAGAATGAACAAACATTATGTTATTTTTCTTCAATATACAGTTACTTTTCACTTTTTCAAATACATAATGCTTTTCAGATAGTCACCTGAACTTTTACATTCATAAAGCATGCATTCTACTGTGATTTATTCTTAAGCGACCAAAACTTCTCAAACATTTTCTGAACAAGTAATCTATTGACCTATTGTCATCTCAAAAGAAACCAGTAATACTCCCACATACTCTATTATTTTCATTTTCAAAAAATTTTGTTTGTTTTCATGTTCAAAAATTTTATTTTGTTCGTTAGATTCCACATATGAATGAGATCATCTGGTCCTTGTCTTTCTCTGCTGGGCTTACTTCCTTAGCATCATACTCTCTAGGTCCATCCCTGCTGTAGCAAAGTGTAAGATTTCCTTCTATTTTATGACCGAGTATATTCCATTGTGCAAATTTCCCACAGCTTCTGTACCCACTCATCTACTGATGGGCACTTGGGCTGCTTCTGAATCTTGGCTATTGTAAATAATCCTTCAGCGAACATAGTGGTGCGTAGATTCTTTGGAATTAGTGATTTGGGTTTCTTCAGATACATTCCCAGAAGTGGGATTGCTGGGTCATAAGGAAGTTCTATTTTCTATTATTTTCGATTTTTGTTAATCATACCCCCATGTAGACCATTTGGAACTTATCATTTAACTATTATTTAAAAATTAAATTCGTTGCATTATTTTTCTCAAGTTTTTATAAGTTTGATACATATCTCAGGTATGTGCCTCTTCAGTATTTGCTAGAAAGCATAAGAGCATGGCAGCAAGGACAGTTGTTCTACTTATTACGGGACCTTTAGGACAGCATGTCATGGAAGGTAGAGAACACAGTAATCTGAACTCTGATTTCTAAGCCAAACTTCATTCTGTTAGAGAGAAAGCTCCTGTACACAGCAAAAAATGTATTCGATCAGTCAGCAGCAGAGCTGAAATGTAACATATAGATCAGCTACTTGAGGCAGCTCTTTGTTAGCCTTCCCTGTTAAGCGGTGGTAATATGGGACATCAGCTGTTGAGAAGTCTCTAGACCACTTTAGTATCCCCATTCCTGTGTTAAACGACTCATTCTAAATACAGGATTGCCTTCGATATAGTTGAGTAAGAAAAAAACACACAAGAGCTTTTTATAGTTGGGAAGTCTATCCTCGCGGGAAGTCTCCAGTTCCCTGAAATTTGTAAGAAGTAACATTTAAATTCTTGGGGAACGTCCTCTTTTCCACACAGAACATTGAATTTAATGAGCCAGTAGTCTTGTTTTGGAAATAAAGGAATATCGCCCTCTTTCAAGGCTTCTGCAGAAACTGCTTTCCTATATTTCTACATCTTATGAAAATCCAGACCTGGGATTCAGATAGGACTGTTACTTCCCTGGACGATCAGAATTTCGTGGCCTTTTATAACCCTGGAAGTTCTTTGCTTCCTTCCTGAAGGCAGCACTCTTGTGTGGCAGACCTCATGTTGGTGATAGACAGGCACCTTTAAAGACTTACTTGACATATTTGACAGGGAAATCATATCCACTGTTTGGTTGACAGAGGGGGGGAAAGTCACTCTGGCAGGAAAATGACATGTATTTTGATCAGAGGGCTTTGCATTTGATCTCTGCATGTATCTCCTTGCATCTGAAGAGGGGCAAGTGTATGATGAGAATGATGGAAAATCACAGGTCCCAGGGTTGTAGATACTTCTCTTCAGTTAGTAGTAAACTTAATTTTTACTGACAATTAAAATGATGTAAGCATAAAGAGGTAAATCCCCAGATAAGAAACATAGCTCTTTCATAGACCACCTTGGTGTCCAGCTGGGCCCCAGGTAACTCTGTGGTGTTGAGGAACGGAGTTCTTTTCCTCCTATAATTAGTAATATTGATAGTGTATTTAAAATTTTAATGCAATTGCGGGTTTCAGGATTCGAGGAGCACAGATGGTCTTCCATACCAGGAAGAGAGGTTTCCAATATCCCTATAGTATAGATACACCACCAAACTTAATTGAAGTGCTTGAAAAATGCAAAAGAATTTCAACGTAAACCTGAGATCTAACATAGAAGAACTGCCTTTGTCTGCCAAAGAAATTAGGTGAGGTCATCTTAAATTCTTAACAAAAAGATATTCTTGTGGGTGAAGCCAGAGAGAAAGTCTGTTCTCAAAAAGAACAAAGGCTGCACAATACTATTTAGTTCCCTTTGTCTAGGGGAATATTTGAATTTATCCCGTGGAATTTTCTCTTATCCAATATGAAGAATTATAATAAAATATCCAAGTAGGAAAACAGTCGAGCTATCCTTAAGTTGAATTATCTTTTGCCTTAACAACAAGTAAATTAACATCATACTAGACGCTATGTCAGTTTGAGTTTTAAAAAGCATCCTGAAAGTTTCTGTAATTGAAGAAGTCTGTGCAAGAGCACTTTTCTTCAGTCTCTCTTACTGTGAAAAACAAATCTAGAAGAATATTGTACAACATCCAGAATTCCCCAAAATTTCCTTAACAAGTAGTTTGCAATCATCATCCAAGAAGAAAGATATATTTTCAATGTGCTGTCCATGGAGAGTTTCGTGAAAAAAATAAAGTAGTTGAATTTTATTCTATTCAATTTTTAATTTTAAATGATATTTCAATTTAGTATTAAAAAATTATAAGTGTTACTTTGAGTATGGTATCCTCAAATGGTGGTGCTATTTGGTAGAGAATAGACTTAGTACAGGGACCATGTTTATTAATCAACTACTATTTTGATAATCGTAAAATGAGTAATATCGAGTTTATTCACTGGATCCCAAAACAGTTACTTATTGATAAAAAATAAACAAATGAAATGCTGTGGGAACATGCTTGGAAAACATAATATAATTTGAGTTGGAAGATTATTTTCTCACGTTAGAAATTAATAAACTAGTTCCACTAGAACTTCTATGCTGATGGAAATTTTCTGTAATACAGCGGCTCTTGAGAACTTGAAATGAGCATAGTAGGACTGAGGAAGTGAATTTTACTTTTACTAATATAAATTTAAACTTAAATGGCTGCCATATTAGAGAACATAGCTATAGACTGTGAAAACAAAGACATTAAAAGAAGGGTACGATTCTGAGATGTTTAGAGGAGTATTTACAAATTGTCATTATAAATGCCCAAGTGCATTAATGAGAGCACAAATAAGGCTGACAAATGTTGACATTCTTCATTTTTAAAACATCTTCTTAGCACAGGATCTGTGTGGTATTTCATAATTATCAGATCTCAGACTATCGACCAGGAAACATATACTATACAAACATTTTAAGTCATAGAAATTATTGATATGGTATCAATGCCTCTCTCAATGTCCCTTTTCCAATTCTGGTTTATTGTGTTTGGACCATGTTAATGTCAGAATCTTTTCCTTGTTCTTTGAACCCTGTGTGTCTGACAAAGAGGCTATCACACAGTGGGTGTAATTAGATATATACCGAATAGTCTGAAGTGTATTTGTTGTGTGCACACTGCCTAGTCTATAGTTCTTGAAAGCAAGCACCTCACTATGTCTCCAGCATCCTGCACAGGGAATGGTACAGAGCAGAGAGCAGTAAATGCTTGTGAGCTGACTGCCAGACTTCGCCTCTGTTTACTGCTCTAATTCTTATCAAGAAAAGCTAAATGGAAATTATATGTAGAACATGAACACACACACACACGCACACACACACCCCTTAGTGTGAGCGAGAAAAGTTCCGTGTGAATCTCTCCCCTCTGTTGACTTCCTGTCTTAGACTTCTGCATGTTAAATGCTAAATTTATTGCTAAGAGCTATGAATCTTATACACTTGGAAGAGAAATGAATTTTCTGGAATGAATACATAAAACCTATAAGGAAATGCATGTATTTTAAAATGTTATGTGACTTGCAAGTTGTCTTCGCTTAAAGGCAGCCTTGCCCTTCATTAAACTGACCACGTCTGCAGCAGCAGGGAAGCCGGCATCTGCTTGCTCATTTCTCTTGGTACTTGGCGTGCTCCTCACTTGAAAGGGCTTGCTTTCTTCATGATATTTTTGCGGTGGGCGTATGGACTGGCAGAACTCTCAGAAAGAGGTCGCTGGCTTCAGCCTTGTGGACATGAGCAGCAAAGACAGCCAAGTACGTTGAGATGTGCAAAGGGGGTGTTGGTTGTGTCAGGGCTCTAGTTATCTGGGGTATTGACATGTGTGCCAAGCAAAACCCTCGTAGGCCCTCCTAGAGTCTTGGGGAACATTCCTAATTAGAACATTCCCTGAAATAATGTGACAACTTTCTTGTGAAAAGGAAGACAGCGTGTTGAGATGATGCTGAAATTTCCTTTGGGGTTGCACTTATTTTTACCAAATTGAATGTTGGTTAGTTTTCTCACAATAATTAATTGAAGAATTAATTTGTTGTATATGGTTCTTCTGTGTGCTGAATGCGATCCAGTGTGGTTTATATTAAAGAGAATACCAATAGTTCATCCTTTACTAAGAATCTAAGGTGTTTTCTTGTGTTTTATGTGTTTGGTGGTCATAGAAAGCATCGGTAGTCTTTGGATCACTTGCTCTGGGAGAAGCCCGCCCTTGCGCCGTGAAGGCGTTCATTCAGGCAGCCCTGTGAGACATCCATGAGGTGAGCAACTGCGACTTCCTTCAAACAACCAGTATTAACTTGCCATTACTGAGTTAGTGACTCACCTTAGTGAGTCACTTTGGAATGGATTCTGCAGCCCTATAAGCCTTCATATTATTATAGTTCTGGCCAACATGTCAGCTGCAACCTCATGAGAGACCCGGTGTTAGAAGTTCCCATTCAGGTTGTCCTGAATCCCTTACTCACGGAAACTGTAGGCTTCCCCCTTCTTGTTATATTGAAGTAACTGGCATTGGATTTGTCTTCTTGCCGCAAAAATTTGAAAAATTGGAAAAAATATGAAGCAGCTGTTTTCAGAAACTGGCCAATAGACAGTGAAGGCTTGTGATCCAGGGAAAGGGATAAGTCATGTGAGCCCTGCAACTGCTCTGGTTTCAGCCACCTGGAAAGCCTCTGTGGACCATGGCACTGGAAAGGACAACCCAGGCAGGGTACAACATTCTCATGGAGTTGAGAAGACAGAGATGAAAGTTTGGGGAGAATGAAGTAGGTGGAATTGTAGGGCAGAGTACTAGAAAAGAGGGAGTTATGCAGATAATGAATCATCAATATTGTCTTATAAGGTACAAAACACCGTAGGGGTTATATGCATTACTAATACTAGACGTCAAAAATGAAAAGGCAATGTGAAAAAATTCCTGTTTATTTACAAGTGTAATGATTCATGCCCTGATAAAGAAGCAGCAGCAATATGATTGCTTATGGTGGCCAAGTGTAATCGATGTGGTTGCTTCATGGTAGTAAGGAAATCTCTAAAAATGTTTCCAATATATTTACTAAAAAAACCCTCACCCATGTATAAATTTACCCATGCAGTTCAAACCTATGTTGTTCAAGGGCCAACTGTATGTCTTTCTCTGACTGATCTCACTTAGCATAATGCCCGCAAGATCTATCCGTGTTCCTGCAAGTGGCTGGAAATCTTGCTTGTGTGAGCAGCGTCCACCCAGCTCCTTCTGTGACTGGTCTTCGTACTGTGTCCTGCTGCCTGCTGTTTGTATTTCCCCTGCCTAAGGTGGACAGGATATGTCCATTTTTGTCCAAGGGCCCTTCAGAGTTATTTAATTAATTTATTTAATAAGATTCAAAAATCTTTTCAGAGTTGCCCAGCAACGTGGCGCTCACTCGGCTCTCCACTGAGCTGGGGAAGGGAGGTGACAAGGGCAGGAAGAAGCTGGCCCATATCAAAGGTCCTTTCCCACTTGATCAGCTTGTTAAGAGCCACTAATTTTTGAGGAAAGATGACTATGAATTGGAAATCCTTTCTTAAGGATCTCTCCAGGAAGAGAAAATCCATTTTGATAAGAAGCTTATACTTGTAACTACTAAACTGAAATATTTGGTGAGAGTTCTGTATGTGATATTTTCCTCGGTGATTTGTAAAACCACAACAGGTATTTAATGCGTTTCAATCATTCCGGCCACTTTCCCACAAGCTACGTGGAGAATAATGAATCAGGCAAGTCTGCTGGGCCCGGCTCTCATTCCGGGAGTGAGCTTCAGGATGAGATTGGTATTGGAAACCGAGAGGGAGGAGTGGAAATGACAGTTTCTTGAATAGGCTGATCCGAGGTGTGTATATTGCACATATGCAGTCAGGTGTTAAATTATTAGATTTCCCCAGACTGTAAACATGAAGGAAAAGGTCTTTATGTGGTAGTGATGACGTTGCAGTGTCTCATTTTGTGAGATAATAGGCTCATGGGGTTGACTCTGATGGTTTCAAGCACTTCTCCATTTGCAGGAACCCCTTGGCTCCCCAGCTTTCTGTTGATCAGAGAATGCCAGGTTCAGGCCCCTGGGTGGTAGCTCCTTGTCCAGCCACTAAGTGGGGTTGTCCAAAACCCACCTTGTTACCTTTCCCCCTGGGGCAGCAGCTCCTGCTTCCAGGCACAGAAGTCACAGAGGTGTTCTTTCATCTCTGTTTTTGTTCACCCCACCCCCTGCCTTTTGTTTTCCAAAGTACCTTATTTAAGGAACCCTTCCCATTCCTACTTCCATCCCCCTAGGCAGAAGTGACTTTGCACCTGGACTATTACATGGATGCACACACACAACTGGTGTGTGTGTGTGTGTCTGTGTGTGTGTGGTCCCCATCTAGCCTCTTGTGAGAATAGACTCTTATCTTAAATCCTGTTTGTTTTCCCTGCAACTACTTACGATAATTATCAAAGTGCTACAATTAAATAAACTGCCCTGGAAATATGAAGACCTGTTCAAAGCAACTCAAAACATTTAAGGAAAAAAACCTAAATGATAGAGATAATCACTGTTAATATAGATTTTACAAAAGGTGCTCTTTGCCTAGTTTGGTCCACCCCGTGGAGCCATATCTCACTCCGTAATAGATAACATCCACTGTGTATTTTAAAATTTTGAATGAGATTTTTTAACCCAATATTTTATGCTGATGTTAAAATAATTTTTTGGAGTTTCTGAACCTTCTTACAATAATAATCATAGTAAGAGAATAATCATGTAGGGAATTTACTTGAAATCTGTGTATACCCAAAGTTAACTTGAATACTTAAAAGGAATAGATTTGCTTATATTAAAGTCTTTACTCATACATAATTTGCTTCATGAAATGCTGATCCTTTGCCTGTTAGCTCAGGGAACATTTCAGTTTGCTTGGCCCAGCCCTTGTCTTTCCTCCTAAATACTCTCGACTCACTGTGCCTGCATCAATAGGCAGGGAGCCTGGCTGCGGTGGACTCAGATGGAGGGTTTATCCCACACTGGGCAGCTCTGCCACTCTCCCTGCAACTGCACTAGCCGAAGGCTGCTGCTTTGTTACCACACTGTAATCACAACTATGTAGAATGGATTTGGTGGAGAAATTTTACTTAACCTAAATGGAGAGTTGATTTAAAGCTATCACAGCCTTGGATTAGTTGAATCACTGGGATTAGTTGGATCACTGGGATGCAGTTCACAGTTGTTGTTTTTTTTAATAATAGCCATCAGTGATGTGGTTTGGCTTTGAGAGATGTGTTTAGATTTCTAAGTTCTTGCCTGAGACACATGGGGCTTAAGGGTCAAGATTTACAGGGTGCAGAATCTCTGCCTTTTATTCTTTACTTTCAGGAAAGAAGATTCGCATACCTGTGCCTCTGAATCTTCCCCAGGTAAAGTTTTTCCTTGACACCTTCTCTGCTCATCTCTTTTTCCCTAAAGAGCAAGGTGGAGAGTCACTTAGTCTCAATTCCTTAAAACTGAGGAAAACATAAAGCACAGGTGTTAACCTAAAATTAAAGAACAACAACACCCTGAAATGTCAGGCAACAAGCATTTATTTGGGATAAAAGAATTGCAATTTGGGAACACAGATTTCGGCAGAAAGCCAAACAGTGTCCTGGTTGCAGGTGAAAGCAAGGGGTTTTATGAGAAAAGGGAAAAGAATAATTCCATAAAAAGAAGAGATGAATTCCTGGTGTTTTTGACAAGCTGAACTGCTCTTGGCTGTACTGATTGGTTACTGATTTTTCCAAAACCTTCAGTCCTTGTGGCCAGGGTGTGTGCCTTCTTGCAGACTTAACAAACAATCGTTTATCAATCAGTCATGGTTTAGCCCAGGTCAGAGGTCTGACCCAGTGCAACATTTCAAGGAGCAATGCAGTTCTTCTGGATTGACTGCTCTGGTTTCGTTTTGAGATGGCTGCATTTATGCAGGAAGGAAAGCATTTTCTCAGAGGTGGAGGGCATACCCTTGAAGAGTGAGGGAGTGCTGTTCTGGCTCAATGTGCACTGGGAGACTTTTCTTTTCTACCCAGCTTTTCCTCAAATTCTCCTTATTACTTAACAGTTAACCATGTTTCAGCTGATGGTGGTACCTCTAGGTCTCTTTTATATGCCTGCATCCTACGCCAAGCGTGGCAGAGCTATAGGTGGTCACGAATACCATTACCGTATTTTAATGCTTCAACTTTAGTCAGTAGGTTTTCCTTAAGGTTTACTCAAATCCGTCTGCTGAATTATTAAACAATTGTCGCAGGTCATAGATTAGAGATGTGCCAACCAGCATACATATCTGGGACTATATATATAATTTATACACTTTTAGGCTGACAAATCCTCCTGTTTTTTGGCCCTCTGTTGCCATTTTCAGAAGCTCCTGTTAATCTTTCTTATAAATAACATATTGCACTTAACACCATGTCTTTCTCCAAGTTATCCACGTAACACACCAGCGGTCGGGCTGTGAATGAGAAGCGAGTCTGAGTCATGAACCCATTCTTAGCCTGAGTTCCCAAAGCTCCCCAGGCTCTTCCATTATGTGTGTCTAAAGCCATTTCTCTTCCTCCTATGTTATATTTGTACTGCTTTTTTCTTTCTAAAGGGATTACATCCACCTCTGTTTCTATTAAACACCACTCTGCTTATCTTTCCTTTTCTCTGAATTGTCAAGGGTGCTTCTTTCTTCTTAATTCTGTGTCCTAGTCACATCTCTGTGGAGATTTATCTAAGACCTGCACTGAGGAAATGTCTTATTAAAATGTAAATAGATTCTCAACATTTTAAACACATTCACATCGTCCAAATTTAGCTATTTATGTGTTGGGTTCATGTTTCTGTTTCTTAAAAAAAGGATTTAAAAATCAAGGATGGCAACTTTAATTAAGTGGGGTTATTGCATGGCAGAGGGAGACATTTGGAAGATTATGTATAATTGTTCTTATGGGACAGTTATCTATGCAGTAGAATTCACATTTCACTTTATATTCATTTCCTCGCATTTTAAGGAAAAAAGACTTTTCTATTTGTTTGAAAATAAAAATGCTTTTAAGTTTTCCTGCCTGGTTGACAAGAGTGCTTTGTCCTTTCTGATTGTACCAAAGGACCGTGAACCTGCTCTGACGCATACAGGGTGGAAGTGGGCCTCCTGTCCCCAGCCTGCTCTTGTGGTGCACTCTCCTGTTGATAGGGGTGAAGTCCTGGAAGCGGGAAATTGAGGCTTGGCTTCAGAAATATGGTTAGTAAAACTCCTCTTGTGGTTCAGATGACTGTTTCCAAGATAACACAAACTAAATCAAGTGATACGACTCAAAACATTGTAAGCGTTAATTAATGGCTATCTACAAAAAATAATTTGGGCTCTACAATGGTAAAGTATTAGTATAGTGATGGCTGCATATAATAAACATTTTATAGGAACTATTTTTATAGCCATCTTTCCCTCTCTCCAGTGCTCTCATTCCCGTTATCTACTGAGCTCATTTCATACTTCACTTGAATCTCCAGTTATCCAGGACCTGGCTTCCTCTGCTTTTGGAACCTGTGCAGAAGCTGGGTAGAGGCTCTAGAAGGGGCTGGCTGTAACCAAAGGTGAGGAAGCGGGGGCTGGCAAGCTGTCGCCCAAGATAAAATGCAGGGAGCTCTGCAGATTAGAACCAGGCCAGCGTCGGAGGTAGAGTGTGAAATAATTTACATATTTGGGTGTTCGCACACAATCACACACAGACACATGCACACACAACCAGCGAGTAAAGCAGAATATTCCCTGAAGGAAACAAGAAACAGAACATCCCAGAAGTCAACAAAGACATATGATGTGTTCACTCGTTTACTCATTTATTCCTTCATTCTTTCAATATTTAACTGAAATATTTATTCTTTCAATTATGTAACTGGTACTCAGTGCTGTGCACTAAAGGACACATAATGGGAATAAAATGACCAAATATCTTTAAGAAACTAGATTCAATTTGGGCAACATTTCCATATGTACAAGATTAAATCATAATAAAAAAGCCAAAGGTATAATGTCTTCAGAATGCTAAAGGGCACTACTGGTTCCATGGAAAAGGCCCACTCATTACTGAAGGAGTTTTTTCTTCGGGGGTTAGCTTGCCTATAAAACATAAAAGGCAAACACATGGAGAAAGGCCACAGACGATGGTTCCTCTCAGGACCACGTCTAGAAAAATTCCCAGAACTGATTCTTTTAGGATCAATTCCTAGAGATATAGGGGAAGGCAGTGAAATAATGGAGTAACTTGTATGTTTGCTTCCTTCTGGCTGCCAGGGAAGTGCAGCCAACTCGTGTGTGTTTGATATGTAAAATAAATGATTAAGAGTCGCAAAAGGGAAATAAAACATTAAATGGATTTCACTAGCTCACGGGAAATGAGCTTCTCAATTCCTGTTTACCAGCTACATCAGTTTGTTTCTCCAGACTTGCTGCAGCTCTGTATCCTATATAGATTGTTTATAGGTTAGCCGAGATGACCCTGATATGACAAAGGGATACACAAAGATGTGGATGTCAGCAGTGCATGAGTGCACATAACAGGAAAATGTTTGAGCTTTAAAGGTAGAAACACCAAACAGTGTATTAGAGTAAAATGTTTCCACTAGTTCAACTGAGAGAGTTTGATGGGTTGTTTTCCCAGACTAATGAAAAGATGGATGTTTTCTTTATGTGTTTGGGGTGGTTATAAATTGAGTATAATGTTCCCCAAAGGGGCATCCTTCTGAACATTATGTATTCCGTTCACACCAGGGACACTGATTTATAATTACTCTGATAGAATCCAGAACTGGGGCAAACGGATATTCACATCCCGTTTTCCTCCTGGGCGCTGAGCGCATTGGGCACACGCCACCGCGTCAGCTACAGGGCGCAGGTGACTGTTCATTTCAGCTCGCTCGCGGTGGCTGCGCATTTCTGGGTCACTGCCAGCCCAGCAGCGCTCATGCGGACAGGGTATGACAGGGTTTATGTGCAGGGCGGTGGCCTCACTGGGGGGGCCTTGGTCCGCTCGGGTGGCCAACTCTGAACGAAACCTGGGCTTCTACAGGTAGCGTCCTAGTTAATGAAAAATGTACTTGGGTTTGGACGTGCCGATATACCCAAGTACATTAAACTAAAACATACTGAACGGGCAACCTGAAAAGAACCCCCCACACGATTCTGAACAGCAGGAGAAGTAATTAAAATGTCTCCTTTAGTTCCAAATTCTGTTTCCCATTTTATTGTGAGGGAGTCTATTAGCAGAAAAGATAAGATTTCAGATTCAGATTTTCCAAGCAACGTTAAGTACCTGTCGATCAGAGCATATCATCTGTGAGATGCTGTTCGCTGTTTTACCGAGTTCTAGGAGCGTAGACCTACTTATCTGAGTTGGCTACATTGAGCCTTGATGGCATTCAGATTGTTGACACATGATTTGTAAAAGGATTGAGTTTTCCTTAAACTGCAATATGAATTCTGAAATGGAAATCTAATCTTAAAAAGAGTGCAGAGCAATTTGCAAAAACATCTTAAAACACGAGCGTGGGGAATCTTGAAATACTGGGAAGAATACTTTTCCTGGTGCCAGGAGAAAACCCTGTAGAAAGAGCAGGGTCATCAGTAGCTGATTTGCTGAGCCTTACACAGGCGTCGTGACATGTTTAAGGTGATCCGAAGAGTAATATTTGCGTAAGGGTGCAAATGTCTATCTTTGTATTGAACTCTGAAGCGTGTGCTGGAATATAAAATAGCTCTCTTATTTTTAGTCCTGGAAGGAGAATTAGGTATTTTTAGGTATTATTGATTCTAGCCTCTATGTTGATTTTATAAAGAAATAAAGGACCTGAGAGGCTGCTGCCTGTTGTCGCAGGGTCACTCAGGGCAAGTTGGCTCTTAAGATATTTAGAAACCAGTTATGGACACACACATGCACACACAGAGATATATACATGTGTGTATATACACACATACAGTGGTGGGCAGAAGTAGGTTTATAGTTGAGAGTACATGAAACAGAGGTTATTCTTGTATTATTATTTATTGTATTATTTATTTGTATTACAATCGTTAACCCACTTACCACCCCTGTATGTATGTGTATGTAAGTGCACGTGTATATGTATATACATGTAGATGTATATGCAGTGCTTTGAATGAATTCCAGTGCACTTTCTCTGCTCTAGCCCACAGACATTGTGCTGTCTTGGATAAGTGATCTTGCTCTGGGATATCATCCAATTGTGAGGAGCCTGCATTCATTCTCTGATATCTTCTAGGCTAACATCTGGATCTACTGACAAAGAGAGTCGATACTATGTTTTCTCTGGGTGTGTAGACTTTCAAACATGTGAGGGAAGTCTGCTACACTCTGGACACTCTCCTGGGTGCTGG